GCGAAGGAGCCTGGGGCAAGCTGGGCCACGGCAACGAGCAGGACCATCGGCAGCCGAAGAAGATCGAGGCTTTTGCTGGTCAGCGCGTCGTCGCTGTGTCTGCAGAAGGCGCCCACAGCCTCGCCCTCACCGCCGACAGCGCGCTCTGGAGCTGGGGCGATGGAGACGATGGCCGATTGGGCCACGGCAACCGGGAGGGGCAGCTGCTGCCCAAGAAGGTCGAGGCCTTGGCTGGGCGGCGCGTCGTCGCTGTCTCGGCTGGAGACTACCACAGCCTCGCCCTCACCGCCGACGGAGCTGTCTGGAGCTGGGGCTATGGAGCCTTTGGCCGTTTGGGCCACGGCGACGATGAGGAGCAGCTGCTGCCCAAGAAGATCGAGGCCTTGGTTGACCAGCGCGTCGTCGCTGTGTCGGCTGGGTGGATGCTCAGCCTCGCCATCACCGCCGACGGAGGTGTGTGGAGCTGGGGCAGGGGAGTCGATGGCAGGCTGGGCCACGGCGACGAGGTAGACCTGCTGCTGCCCAAGAAGGTCGAGGCCTTGGCTGGGCGGCGCGTCGTCGCTGTCGCGGCTGGATCAGTCCACAGCCTCGCCCTCACCGCCGACGGAGCCGTCTGGAGCTGGGGCAGTGGATACCTTGGCCGTTTGGGCCACGGCGACGAGGAGGAGCAGCTGCTGCCCAAGCAGGTCGAGGCCTTGGCTGGGCAGCACGTCGTCGCTGTGTCGGCAGGACGCAGCCACAGCCTCGCCCTCACCGCCGGTGCCGTCTTTACCTGGGGCGGGGGCGAGCACGGCTGCCTAGGTCACGGAGAGGACCTGTCGAACCAGCTGCTGCCCAAGAAGATCGAGGGGTGGGCGCCGGGGCAGTGAGCAGGAGGGTGTGGGTGCGGGCGGCGAGGAGCATTAGGGCCCGTCTGGTGCTCGCGAGCTGCGCCGCCGGCGCGGCGAGCAATGCGTGTTTGCACATGTACTTTGACGTGCATAGAGTGCACAGCCACGCTACGCTGCGCGTATGACCCGCCCTGAGGCTGAGCGAAGTGCTGCTTCGATCGTGGTATGGGCCCACATATTGGCACTCCGGCGCTTTGAACGGCGCGTGGCGCGGTGGGGGCTCCTGCGCACACACTCTGTCTTGGTGTGGAGTTGCGAGGGTTGGGACCCCCCAAAGGCCCCACACTTTGCGGGCCTTCTAATTATCCGTATCTATCGCTATTATCACTGTCATTTGGAGATGGAGCCAGCCAACGCAAGGCCCGACTCGTCAACCACGGCCATCGACTCGCTAAACACACGGCCTCGCTCCCCCGGCCTTGAGCAAGGGAAGAAGAGTATCGCTGTGCCCAGCACGGCCGCCGTCAAAAACAGGCCGGCTGTGGCGGAAGCCTCAGAGAGGACCTCCACCCAGCCCTTCCGGTGTCGTTGCGTGCAAGTGAAGAGACCGGAGCGGAGTGTGCTCGGGGGGCTCGTGTGCATGCTCGCACCTGCGCAAGGCAAGCCGAACCCGCCGGATACGCACTGACCTACGGGGTCGCCCGGATTGAAGGCCATCTCACGGCCAGACATCGCAGTGTAGCCAGCGGGGCACGCGTCGCTCAGGTCGCACGTCGGAGCATACGTGCAGCAGGTGGGCGTGTTGCTGACGTGTACTCCGGGAACTGACCCCGGCTGGCCGTCGGGACAACGGGGCTGAGGCAGCCAGCCGTCCTCGCTGGTCCAACCAGTGTCGGAGCCGCAGACCCACGGCCGTCGCCGGACGCAGTCGAATCCGTGGACCATTTCCGCGGTCTTCCATTGGACATGCGACCACATCGCGAGAGGGTTACGCGGATTGCTCGCCTGGGAGCCGACCGGCAGCGGCACCGGCCCCGGCCCCATAGGGGTAGTGTCTGGCTCCGGCGACGGCTCTGGCTCCGGCCAGTAGCTCGCGTAGTCTGAGTGCTCGCACCCATGCTGATCGACCTCGAACGAGGGCATTCGATTCGGGCACGTGTCAGTGACATAATGAACGGGCAGGAAGAGGGTAAGCCTCGGCTTGCCGCGATCTTCGTCCCACGGGCTGGGGCAAGGCCAGCCTGTGCAGTTCAGTTGCCACTCTGGCCTCGTCTTGCCGTCGAAGAAGGACGCGGGCGGCTGTACTGAACGGGGATCGCCGACAAACGAGCTGTCAATGTTTCCATCCACCTCGGACACACCGCCTCGAGAAACCGTTGCATCTGGGCCAAACCCACTTATCGGAGCCCACACGCGCGATCCGTCATCGCGGTTTGCACCTATCGTGATGGCGAGGGTCTGCATCCGCAACGGCGATCCCTGCTGCGCCGCCGCGCTGGTGGTCTCGCCATTTAGACCCCACCGTTTGTGGCCGCCGAGTACGATAGTTGCGAGGTTGAGACGGCTCACGAGCGGTCCTGGGGCGCTGCGCTCGTTGACGTGAGACGTATGCAACGCGGCTATTATGGTGAAGTAGGAGAAGAGCGTGCGAATTGCGGCGGCCGCAGCCGGCCCCGATTCGTCGGTTCCGCAGTTCTCGTCGGCAGCCGTGAGCGAGTAGCGGTCGAAAAAGGATCTTGCGCAGCCTTCCTCGGGGTCCTCGAGCTTACCGCTGGCATCCGTTTGGTTGAAGCAAGCCCAGATGCGCTGATGGTTGGAGAGGCTTTGTACCAGTGCCGAGGCATCCCAGCCCCCAATGCTCGCTTCCTTCTCCACGTGCTTGATCGCAGCAGTGAGGGTGTCGTGGCCACACACGCTCTCAAAGGCGGAGAGCTGGTTCACCAGATCAAATGTCAGGCATCCGGCCGAGACCTTTATCTTGGGCCGTGTCTGGTTGGTGCAGAGGCAATCTTCGACGGCAGTTGACGGCGCACAGAGGTCCGTGTCCGCAACCGAGTCCACGCGAACCACGCAGCCGTTCTGCTCGGTACACCAGAGAGTATGCTGCACAAGGACGAGCACAAAGCCCGCTAGAAAGCTCAAGCCCAGCGTCGCCATCACGACCAGATTGATGGACGGCCTCATGTGTGTCAGAAACAGCGGCGACGCTTGGTCCGCCTCCTTCTGTGCATGGCGCCAAAGCCTCGAGCACAGAGGCAGAGTCTCGGCATCGGCATCGGCCGATCGCGAGGGCATGTGTGCAAGGCGCGCGCGACAACGAGCAAGTCGTTACGCCCTCCCTCCCCCCGTGTATTCTTTCTGCCGTGTATGTATCTCTCTCTCTCTCTCTCTCTCGCCGTGTATTCTTTCAGTTTGCGGCTCTTATTACGTACATTACCAGAGGATTTTACAACTCAAAATTTTACTAATTAGAGGCCTTTCGGTTCGTGAAGGGTCGGTGCGAGTCGTCAGTCGTGCTTTCCTCGATCGATCCCCCGCCCTCCCCCGCCATCTCCGCCGCTTTGTTTGGCTCCTGCCTTATTACCACCATCGGGAGGCGGCGAGGCGAAATCAGACTCGGTCGAAAGACCCCATCCCGGGCTGGATACGACTTGTCGATCCACCTCCCAGGCTCTGGACAGGGTGGCCCGCCACAACGACCCCTGGAATTGCGACTCGCCGCTTCCTCCCACTGTGAATTTGTGTGACCTTAAAAAATAACAAAAAATAAGTGACTCGTTCGCTTACCACCCACTGTGATTTTGTGTGAGCTCTGTGTCTTCCTTTGCCAACAACATACCTACACTCCTAAAAATAACATGTGTGTGTCTTCCTTGTTTTATCAATTAACATCGAAGGCTGGGTTTCGCCACGTCAATCGTCATGCCCCCCCGTACCACTGGACCTGCAGCGCCTGCAGGGCATCGGCTGACCCTCCACCACCACATCAACGTCACACTCAGGCCGGGGGCGCACGCAGCAGCGGCACTCACCTCCAACCCGGCCGAGGGCAGAGGCGACAGGCATCCTCGGTCTGTGAGAGGCGACAGGCCACCTTGGACCGTCGGGACGTCCCTGTGCTTGGACCTTCCCGGCTTTCGCTCTGTCGACAAGTACCCCATTCGCTCCCCTCTTGTGATCGTGGATTACCTCGCGTCTCGGCTCGGTCCAGGCGGCCAACTTGCAGAGGTTGGCACCCGGAATGGGGACGTCAGCGACTGCATCGCGCGCACCTTAAAAGGCTACATCGCGATCGAGAGGACTCCCAAGTACTGCAACTCCCTTGTGCGCCGTGGCATCACCGTCCTGTGCAAGGACTTTGACACGGTGGAACTGGACGAGCCGGAGCTTGCGGACCTCAGCGCCTTTTTCTGGTTTGTCTGGCCTCCGCAGATGAGCGAACGGTGGCTACGCCGTCTTTGGAAGGTGCGAGTCTGAGCCTAGTTCGTCCAGCACGCCCCGGCCCATCCGTTCGCCCCACGCAACGCGGTCGTGTGCGGAGAGCGCTGCATGGTTGCTGACCTCTTTGCTAGTAGTCCGAATGCTATACGATGCCACTGAATCGTGGTCGCGCCGACAGGTGGCCAAGGAGCGCGCCAGATCTTTGTCGGTCTTCATCGGCTTTGATGGCCACATCCCGGAGGACATGCGTTACCTGCCACTCCTGCTCTCGAGGTACAACGGCAGCGTGGATCGGCTCTTCTTCGATGAGGGTGGTGCCCTGACAGACAGGCACAGTCCGAGCTACGCCCACCCTAATCTGTGGAGACCGGGAAGGTGGGGTATCGTGCATGTAGCACACTTCGAACTGGGCCCGCTGGCTGGCTCCTTGCCACAACGCCTCGACCAGGGCCTGGCCCGCTCCATCCACAAGAGCGTTCGCCCGGACTGGAGTTGGGAGCAACATGGTTGGGAGCCAGGGCAGCCGGTTCCATAAAGCCCTCCTAGCCATAAAACCTCGTAGCCATCCCTGTGTTTGCTTTGCGAACCTGTCCCTCCCTAAAGCTGCACATCCTAGCTGTGTAGCCCTCTTATATCTCGGAGAGACAGTCTCCGCCCCGCTGTGGTGTGTTTGTTAATTTTGGCCTAGGGGTCCGGTTTTTTGTGCATTGTGGCTTTTTTTGCGTGTTGAGCATGTACGTATGTGTTCTGTACGCTGATATCTCCAAATTCACATGAGCGCGACCACGGTGAGGACCGAGACCACCACCGCTAAATCGACATCTAAACCCCACACCACGCCCCTTCCCCTCTGCTGAAAGTGCTGGGAGTGCGCCGACACGGCTCACGGGCGGCCTCAGAAGGCTGGTGGCGGCGCGACCGCCAGCAGCGGCGCCGTGGTGCGGCGGATGCAGTTGTAGTGCACGGGAGAGATGTAGGTGAGGAAGAGCCGTCGGCCGGCGCCGGAGCCGTCGGCCAAGTCGGCCGTTGCCAAGCTCGGCTGGCGCGCCATGCCGGCGGGCGTGTAGCGGAGGTGCCAGTTCTCGGCGTCCGAAGTGATCACATGCACCGTGCACCCAAACGCGTCCGCCGCCTACGTGCTGAATACGCCAACCTCAAGGCGGGAAGACGGTATCGGGACGCGTCTTCAGAGCACCGCGTGAAGACAACGAATAGCAATAATACAGCGGAATACATCGGAATACGGCGGAACAGAGTGAAACACGTGTCCTCTCGAGTGCTGGTTGGGAGACATGAATACGTAGTCCGCTTCTAGGGTCCGCCGCCGCGCGGATCGTTAGCTCGTCGCCTAATCAAGAGTTCATTAAGAGTTGATTGGCAGCGAATTAAGAGTTGATTCGCCGCGGATGGTCAGCTCGTCACCCCACGTCTTCTCACGTGCCATGTTTGTGAGGAACGCGTCGAACTCGTCGTCGATGAAGAAGACGCCGTACTCCTCGCGGAGGAGGCGCATGTGCGCCACCTATTCACAGCCGCAGCTGTGAAGAGACGCCGCCGCGCCTTTTGGGGGATTGCGACGCGCGTGCGCCACCGTCGCCGCGCGCACGGCAGCATGCCGATCCTGCGTGCCGTAGAGCTGGTACGAGAGCGCGCGGAACTGGCAGTTCCCGTCGTCCTTCATGATCTCCTGCTGCAGGCCCGTCACCTACAGGAGAAGTGCCCGCCGTCTCGCGCGGCTGTCCGAGGGTAGGCATTCCGCGACCCCCCGCCACCAGCATGCGGCGAGATGTGGCGAGATGCGGCGAGATGCGGCGAGATGCGGCGAGATGTGGCGAAGAGAGCAGAGCCGCGTGCCCATTAGCACACACGCGCACACAGTGCCCCCTCCCGCGCCGCGAGCCCGGGGTCTCTGATGTGATCTGCTCTTTGAGTGGGTTTGTCTGTGTCGAGCGTACCAGTATCCTCTGGTCGAGCAGCTTGATGCCCTGCATGATGGCGGCTTCGCGGGACGGCAGCTCGGAGGCTGTGCGGTCGTACGCCGGCCTGCTCACAACTGCGCGCGTGAAGGGGCGCCGCCCGCGGCTCGGAGGCGGTGCGGCCGTCTGCTGGCCGCCGAGAGACAACCGGAGGCTGCTCGCTGCGAGGCGTTTGCGCCCGAGCATCGATAGATGCCCTGGCGCGGCGCTGTATGACGCGCATGGCGAGGAGCTTGCGCTTGAACTCGTGCACCTTGAGGATGACCTCCGCGTAGTTCGCCGCCGTCAGCACGCCGCCGATCGCAGCCGCAATCTGCGCGTCCTCGTCCGCGATGACCGACAGCAGCCGCACGGTGCTCTCGCGCCGGGAGAGCTGCCCGCGCTTTACAGCCTGCACACGGACGGCGGCGGCCGTCTCGACCGGCGTCGGCGCCGAGTACTTTGCCTTTGCCGAGCGGCACGCGTTGCACAGCCCGTCCTCCTTCCCCGACGTCGCAAAGTTGCCGCAGGCGCACCTCGCCGGGGGGGGAGGCGGCCCGGGCGGAGGCGCGGCGGTGTTGCGCTTGGAGCTCTTGCCGCGCCCGAAGAAGCCCATCGGCGGCGGCCGGCAAGAGCCGCTCTGGGCCGGCCGCAATCTACCGCAGGCGCGATTTCTTTTTATCGAATTTGGCAGTGCCCCGCCGGCCGGAGAGATTGCTAGAGGTGGAGCATGCTGCTCTAGCCTCACATGTCACTTCCTGTTGTCTGTTGTTTGTTGTGCCCTTGTTTGTTTCTCTTGGCACCTTGGAGTGCTGGGGGGGGCGACAGGGAGGATGTGGCCTTGAGTTATGTGTGTGTACGCCAACTCAGGGTGTGTGGCAGCCAGCTGGCTGTGTGTCTTGTGAGCTTGTTTGTGTCTGTGTGTCGCTCGTGCGTGTCGTCATCATCTGTCCAGCGTCCACCCATACCGCGTTGGTGTCCAGTCCGAGCCTGGCTGTTCTTCACCTTTCTACCTACCTACCTACTCTGGCAGACAAGACACAGAGCTCACACAGAATCACAGCGGGAGGAAAGCGGCGAGTCGCAATTCCAGGGGTCGTTGTGGCGGGCCACCCTGTCCAGAGAGGCATGGATGCCAATCTGGGGTCTCTCGACCGAGTCTGATTTCGCCTCGCCGCCTCCCGGTGGTGGCTGTAGAGCCAAAGCGGCGGAGATGGCGGGGGAGGGCGGGGGATTGAGGAAAGCACGACTCGCACCGACCCTTCACGAACCGAAAGGCTGCACCCGGGAAGGCACAGTAATCCGGGCACGTGTTGCGTGTTGGGCGCCCCGTTCCGTCTGGGGCTAGGTCGGCTCAGGGCCCCGTCCACTTCCCTCCCACTTGGCGCGTGATAATGGGGAGATGCCACCCAGGCTAGCCAGGGCAGGGGCGGGGGGCGAGGGCGGAGGGCGGGATGGGCGCCAAGCGGGAGGGAGCGAACGGAGTGGAACGCACAGATGGGGGATGGCGAGGGCGGAGGGGCGGGAAGCGGGGAGGACGGTGGGAGGGTGGAGGTCGGCATGGGCGGGCGGTGGGTGGTTGGGAGGGTGGAAGTCGGCATGGGCGGGCGGTGGGTGGTTTGGTAGGGCGGGGGGGAGGGCGAGGGTGGAGTAGGGGGGCGGTGGGGGCGAAGGGGCGGCGAAGGAGAGGGTGGTGGCAAAGGGGTGGGCGAGGTGGAGGGCGGGGGGGCGGCATGGGAGAGGTGGAGGGCGGCGGAGGCGTGGGCGAGATGGAAGGCGGCGGAGGCGTGAGCGGCGGCGGTCTTTTATCGAGTGCTCCGCGCAAGTCGGGGGGCAACAGGGAGGATGTGGCCTTGAGTTGTGTGTACGCCTACTCAGGGTGTGTGGCAGACCGCTGGCTGTGTGTCTTGTGAGCCTGTTTGTGTCTGTGTGTCGCTCGTGCGTGTCGTCATCATGTGACAGGACCATCGATCGGGTCCTTCATTCAGCCACCAAAGTGGGATCACCGAGAGCAGCTGAGCCTGCCTCAGGCCTCGCCTCCCTCTCCTTCAGGCATTCGTGGCATCCTATGGGTCGTCCAGAGTATCGACCTCTGGCGAGTCATGACCGAAGCGGCACGCCTCGGCGCCGCGAGAGCAGCCGGTCGGCGTCGGCACCAAGCGCGCGGCCCAGCCTTTCGAGTTCGCGAACTGGCGAACTGGTTCGTGAACTAGTTCGGTGAACTCGCGGTTCGTTCGGTTTCGGAGTTCGCTCTGGACGCATCCCCTTGGTTCGCTGCATCGGTTCGGTCGTTCGCCCTTGGGTGCCCGAACCCTCGAACTAGTCGTGAACTCGAGCCTTTTCTTTTCTCCTCCCCCCCGCCCGCTTCACACCCGCAGGCCGAGGATACCAGGGAAGTTCGTCTGAACTGCGAACGAACCGCGAACGAACCGCAATATTTATTTTTTGGCTCTGCAGGCCTGTATAGTCCCTGGTTGGTACGCCTGGACGCCTCGGGGAGCCCCCGTCGCCCTTTCTACTCGCCAGTCAGCACGCACGGCGCCCAGGCACCACAGGGCGGCCCTGCTCACAGCGCCTTCATGGAGTACATGCGCAAAAACCACGCCAAGTACGCGAAGGCGTGAGCAAGGAGGCGTCGAGGCTGAGCGGCCCCCCCCCCTCCCCCCCTTCAATGGTCCGCGGCGGGCGGCGGCGCACCGGGGTAGTCGCGCCCGTAGTCCGCTAGATTGCAGAGAGACTGTCGCGGACCGACAGAACTGTGCTAGTGCCGCCTGTGTATATGGGCACCTGAGATTGAGGGCCAGACCGCGTCCGCACGCGCGCACGTGGCGCAGTTGCGCGAGTTCGTTCGTTCAGCGCGGCTCGTGGCTGAACTGCACGCCGAACGAACGAACTTTTGCGCCGATTTTCTTTTTCCTAACACCTAAGTTCGAACGGAGTTCACGAACGTTCGTTCGTTTTCGCAGTTCGCGCCTTCCACAGCCGTGGCGGTCCGTTCAGTTTCGAGGTTCGGGCTGGGCCCCGCCGGGGCTCGTTCGAGTTCGGAGTTCACGAAATCCGCGCGAACTCGAAAGGCTGGCGCGGCCGCCGGGCGCCTCCGAACCGACAGGGGCGCCGCGGCAGTAGAGACCACTCCACCTGCCACTTTTCACCTGGTCCTCCTTTCTTTTTTTTGGAGCAGCCAGTACACCCCTTCGACGATGCCGAAAGCCCTCGTCGCTGCGCTCACAGCCCTGCCGACGATCGCCGCCGCTTCGCGCCCGCTGCTCGTCCATCGTGGCCTCCCGCCACTGCCGAGCGGCCGCAGCGTCACGCTGGAGTTGGCCAACCTGGAGGATGCCGGGACGGGAGGCACGGTCTGGTCCTCCTCGCACGCGCTGTGCCGCTGGGTCGCGGCCAACCTGGATTTGCGCGGCGCCTCAGTCCTGGAGCTGGGCTGCGGCACCGGCGCGTGTGGCATCTTCGCAGCGGGCCTCGGCGCACGGCTGGCGCTCCTCACCGATGGCGGGCCGCCGGGCGTGCTCGCTCTTGCTCGGCGGAACATCGATCGCAATCGCGGCCTGTACCCGTCGGCGAGCGTGACCACCGCGTCGTACGCGTTTGGCGAGCCGCTGCCGAGTGGCGACTTCGACTTTGTGCTTGGGAGCGACGTGGCCTACCACGGCGGCATAGAGCCTCTCGCCTTGACCGTCCGGCGGCTACTGGAAGCGTCCTCGCCGCCGCGGGTCCTCCTCTCCGCGCCCGACAGGAGCGAGAAGAGCGGCGCATCACTCACCCAGAGGCTCATCGGCACAGCGCGAGAACTCGGCCTCTGCACCGAAGTGAAGGAGGAGGCCGTGCGGCAGTTTGCGCTGCACGAGAGTCTGGCAGCAGAGGCGGTGCGCACGAGTGTGCTCGAGCTCTCCCTCGATCGCGCTGTGGACGCCGCGGCCGTCGAAGTCGCCTGCATGCGAGTGAACGCCAAGCCCTCTCCGGCGATATTCTAGCGCGGTGTCGAATTTTGCCAGCGCACACGCACATGAGTCTCAGCTCTCACAGATTGTGATTTTGCTCCGATGACGCACATGCACATGCATGCACATGCACATGCAACAATCGCGATACACGCGCGTTCGGGACACAAACGCGGAGAATTACACGCGACGGCAGGAAGCTCTTTCATGGGTAGTCTGATATGGCCACAGGCACAGCCACAGGGATTTCCTGTGTGCGGGAGTTGGTTTGTCGGGAGGGAGGGGCAGGCTGCTCACCCACGTGCACCGGGCCAGTGCTTGCACTTTGAATGCCGTGGGGCTCCTGCCCGTGTCCGGGCGTGGAGATGCGAGGGTCGCCCCCCCTTGCCCCACCACTTTGTGTGTGTGGAGGGAAATCTACCTTACCTTACCATCCTGGCGAGGTCGTCGCCTGTCGTGCGCTCAACAGATCCAGGGAGCCAAGCCTGACGCGCCGGGACACAAACGAGCTCATTTTGTTTCCGGGACACAAACGCGGAGGTATACACGCGACGGCAGGAAGCTCTTTCATGGGTAGTCTGATATCGGTGATATGGAGGCCGCAGGCACAGACAGCCACAGGGATTTCCTGGCGAGGAAGCAGGAAGCCGCGAGAGCCTCGCCCTCGGGAGCACTCGGGCAAGATTATTTGAAGATTCTTTTGTTTTCTAATTTTTTACGAATTCTTTTCAGTGCGCGCCAGTCCCGTGGCAAACTCTATTCCGTTAGTGCGCGCCCTCTCGTGACGGCGACCACGCAAAGGATTCACCATGCCGTGGGGCTCCTGTCGTTAGACATGGAGACGCGAGGGTTGCCCCCCCTTGCCCCACCACCTCGTGTGTGTGGAGAAGTTTACCTTACCTTACCTTACCTTACCTTGGCATGAAGGTCGCAGCGAGAATCTGCGAGAGACTGCGAAGAGAGTGTGTATCGCGCGCCTTGCGGGGGGGGCGCGGAAAAGAGGAACCTCTTAGCGCCATCGCCACGGTGCTGCATGCAGCGCCGGGCGACGACGGCTTACCGCCTCCCGGTCCCCCTCGGCACACCTCCGCTGCTTAATGTTTGGCGACTCGAACCCGTGAAGCTTCCCCGTGCGCGGGTTACCCCGCACACGGGTCAGCCTGCCAGCCACGTATCCACGCAAGCGTGGTCCGCGCGCATGGCATACACGAGGCGTTCGCCAGACAGCGCAGAGGCTAGGCGACCGGGGACGGACTAGCTCAAGGGCAACACAGCGTCACCAGCCGTTGGCGCGCAGAACGAGTCAGCGGCCCCCGGTTGGGACGAGTGCGCGACGCGGACGAACCGCTCAATGTGGCCGGCAGCTCGCGCTGCCGGCGGAGATAGGAAGAGGCGGACGCCCAAGGGTGGGCGACGGCTAGCGCATCACACCCCTCTCCTTAAAATCCCTGTGTGGTGGCGGCGTGCCGTCCTCCCATCCCTCCGTTCTTGAATTCTTAAAATAAGTGGTGTACCTGTGTTAGTGCCAGTGCGAGCCAGTCCCGTGCCCAGTCCTGTGCCCAGTGTCGTGCGAGGGAGTTTTGTTGTAAAATTCTTAAAATACAAGCCTCTCTCACAAAAAGCACACTGGCACGACAAGGGCGCGGACTGGCGCGGACTATTCTTTGCCCCGGAGCAGAGCTCCTCGCAATAATCAAGATGCTGGATTGGCTGCTGGCACTCTCGAGGCTATGCCTACACAGCCTCGCGCGCATGGGCAGTCAAGAGGGCACTCGCCACAGTCAAGAGGAGCACGCCGCACGGCTCGTGGAGCAGCCCGAGTCGGTCCTCTCCGTCCTCCTCTCGCCGGACCTCGCCCCGCACATCCTCGCCCAGCTGCCGACCGCGGCGCACGCTGCCAAGGGGACGTGCCGCGCGTGGCGCCGCGGCTGGAAGGAGACGCTGCCGAAGCGCGAGAGGCCATGCATGCTCGCGATCGGCGGCCACACCAACGGTGGCGAGTTTGTCAACTCGCTGGAGCGGTACGACCCGTCCACAAACGAGTGGGAGGAGGAGGCTGTGGCGCCGATGCCGACGGCACGCAGGGTAGTCGGCACGGCGGTCCTCGATGGCAAGCTCTACACGGCGGGCGGCGAGTCTGTGGCCGACGGCGCACCTTCCAACCTGGTGGAGCGGTACGATCCGGCGACGAACGCGTGGGAAGCGGTGACGCCGCTGGCAGATGCGCGGTATGCTCACGGCATGGCGGTGCTCGACGGCAAGCTGTATGCGGTGGGCGGACAGGATGCCGAACAGGAACAGGATGCCACCTTCGCCCTCAAGTCAATCGAGCGGTACGACCCTGCGTTGGATGCGTGGGAGGCGGTGGCGCCGATGGCAGAGGCGCGAGAGTCTCACGCCGTGGCGGTGCTCGAGGGCAAGCTGTACGCTGTGGGCGGCTTCTGTGACGACGGCTACCTCAGCTCGGTCGAGCGGTACGATCCGGCGACGAACGCGTGGGAGGCGGTGGCGCCGATGGCAGAGGCGCGGTATGATCACGCCGTGGCGGTGCTCGACGGCAAGCTGTACGCTGTGGGAGGCTGCGACGACGACAGCGGCAGCTCGGTGGAGCGGTACGACCCTGCGTTGGATGCGTGGGAGGCGGTGGCGCCGATGGCGGCGGCGCGGGAGTCTCACGCCGTGGCGGCGCTCGACGGCAAGCTCTATGTCGCAGGCGGATTGGGCCTCAGCTCGGTGGAGCGGTACGACCCGGCAGTGGGCGCGTGGGAGGCGGTGGCTCTGATGGCGGCGGTGCGAAATCAGGCTTTCGCTGTCTTGATGTAGTCGCCGTTGTGTGCGTGCTATAGTCGTAGCTCCCGCCACGGCGTGTGGAGAGTGTGCTGAAGTCCCTCGCCTGAGTGCAGCGGCGCGTGCGCGTGCCCCCGCCGCTTTATTGAAAGATATTTCCTTTTTTGGTCGAGTGGAAACATTATGATTCAACTGCCAGTTGAGACATCTGTAGCCGTGGTGGCTTGATGCCGGCTTGGTGTCACGCCTCACGGCTGTGTTCTCTGGCAGGTCATGCAAAATAAATCTGAGATTTATTCGACGGTGTATCGTCGATGTCCCAAAAGTCAGCGTTGCCGAGCTGCGAGAAGCGATGGGCGCCCCTCAAACGCCCATAGAGCCACCGCCTCGCTCGCCCGAGCCGCTCCGACTGGAGGGCGCTGCGCTCGCCCGGCATCGAGCCGGTGCACCACCCGCCCCCAAACGCGGGTCCGGACCCCCCTCGTCGCCAGCGGCAGCCGCTGGCTCGACGAGCAGCACCCGCTCGGCCGCCTCCTTGGCCCGGCCGCCGCTGTCGCGGCTGTCGGGCTCCGCGACAGCCGTCAAGCACCGGAGAAGCAACCACCGGCCGCTATGGATGCGGGAAGTGCAAAAATGGGTACGCGCTTTTGCGAACCCGCAGCATGGTTTGATAAAAGGCACCGTTCTCGAGTCGGCACGCTGACCATTTTATTTTCGAGTTTAGGTCTCGCGACGGCTATCTCGACCCGGCGCTCTCGGGATCTGAAGCTACGAGGCCTGGGTCGGGGCTATCAGTGGGCTACATGCCGCTTGCCGCGGCTCCTAGGTCGACGAAACGCTCGCGCTTCACCCTCCCCCCCTCTGACGAAAGGTGTCTGCGTCGCGCGCTCACCGGCAGAGAAGCACACGGCGGGCGATGGCGGCACGCGGCGACGCTCCTGATTCAAAGGAAGGTCGCCCACACACCCTCCAACACGACAACGCCGTAGGTGGGTCGAGGCTTGGGGACTGTGTTTTGTGCGGCGGACACGGCTGCTCAGCTCGCCCCGGCGGTCCAAACCAGTGTTGTATGCCCGCGATCCTGCGGACAGGGCGGAGCTGCCAATCGTCGGAGGATGTGGCGTGCATACTTCGAAATGGCAGTGAAGCAGCGCCTCGACCGTCCTCGAGACCGTCTACGGCCACGGACCCTGAGGTGCAAATGAGAGCAAAGGGAGCAAAGATGCCTCGCACAACGGAGGTGCTCGCGCAGCTCCACACCGTAGGCCCAGAGGGCAAAGGATTGGCGTGCACACTCTCAACGCATCGCAAGCGTCGCAGTCGCAGGCGAATGCGCGCCGACAACTTCTCGATTCGCATGCTCCAGCAGACTGCAGCAATGGCTGCGACTGAGCCTTGGCACGCCTATCGCTTGGGCGACATGTACATGCGCGATACGCCTCCGGACCTCGACTACCACCTGCTTCGCTGGCCAACGAGCCTAGCAGCGCAATACGCGGCGTGCCGGACGCGCAACCAAGATGCGGCGACTCTGGACTTGCTCCTGGCACAGACGTGCCGCCCGGAGTTCACCGCTCCAGAAACAATAGCTGTTCACCTACGGCTGGGCGACCAGCTCTGCTATTTCTTGCCAGGAGGGAAAAAGCAGCTGCTGCACGCCATCTCCCAGCACGACGCGAGCCTTCGACGCCCGCCTACTTGGAAGGCCATCGCCGCAGCGGGCCAAAGGCTCCGGCAAGAGTGGAACGGGAGCAGCACGTTGCCGCGAGCGCGCGTGCAGATCCTGTTTGGCGACCATAGTGGCAGGTGTGGTCGCGCGTCACGGCGCTTCGCCGATCAGGCCGCGGCGATCCTGCATGCACAAGTGCTGGACTTGGCCTCGCCAGACGAGCATCTGTGCCGGATGGTGGGCGCGGGTTTGTTTGTTCAGGGCAGAGGGGGCTACAGCCGGCTCGCCGCGGTCGTCAGGAGGCGGCGTGGCCGACCTGTCTGGACTGACCTGTGCGCACCAAAGACGTGCTGAGACCTGAGTTGCCGGCAGACGTTTCCCGAGCTGCTGGAGAGGAAACGCGGTTTTTCGGAGCCGCGCGGTTTCGATCCCGGCTTTTCTTTTCTTCTTTTGTTTCTTTCTGCACGCAAAAAGAATTTCAGAATAAAAAGAAATCCCGCGCGCTCACGCGGCCACCACACGCAGCAGCAACGGCAGTGAATGCGCTGGACCGCCCGCCTTAGCATCGTCGGCCTCCTCCTCGCCCGCTCATTGTCGATGACGGCCGCCATGATGACCAAGTCGCGCTTCCGCTCGTGGCCAATCACCGAGACTGGTGCACTTGAGCCGTCGCTGCAGGTTTTTGGTGGACGTCGGAGAAGAGAGAGAAAGGGTGGACGGTATACGTCGGCGATTATTCTGGCAGGCGATGGGTCTCCGCGTGCCGGCCTCCGAGATCGATGGGACGAGCACGGACAAGGCGTGCCTCTCGGACGCTCTTGTCAGTGTCGGCCCAGCCGGCCGCGGCGGGACCGGCTCCTTCATCAGCGAGAGCGGCCTCATCATCACCAACCACCACGTGGCGCTCGACGCGGTGCGGCGCGCCTCGACGGCGGGCAAGGACCTCCTCGCGGACGGCTTCGTCGCGCGCTCGATGGCGGATGAGATCGCCGACGCCGACTACGAGGTACTGGCTCCCTCTGGCCCTGACCCTGACCCTGACCCTGACCTCATCCCTGACCCTGACCCCAGGTCTGGATCACGCGCTCGTGCGTCGACGTGAGCGACCGGCTCGCCGACGTGCGGGCTGAGCCGGACCCGCTGGTTCGCGCCAACCTGATCCGCGACCGGAGGCAGGAGCATATCTCCCCCACATCTCCCCACATCTCCCCACATCTCCCCATATCTCCCCAACCTGATCCGCGATCGGTCGCAGGAGCTGGCGAGGGAGGCGGAGGCGGGCGGCGCGGGGGGAGAGTCGTCGGTGCGGTGCGAGGTGCAGGAGATGTGGCCCGACCGGACGTACGTCCTCTTCACGTACGAGAGGCTGCGGGACGTGCGGCTCGTCTACGCGCCTCCGATGTCCCTCGGCTGCTTCGGCGGCGACACCGACAACTTCGAGTGGCCCCGCCACACGGCAGACTTTACGCTGCTGCGCGCGTACGTCGCTCCCGACGGCTCCGCCGCCGAGCACTCGCCGGACAACGTGCCGTACAAGCCGCAGCGCTTCCTGCGCGCTGCGACGCGCGGCGTCTCGCCGGGCGACTTCGTCTGTTTGCTCGGGTTCCCGGGCTCGACGATGCGGTACGCGCCGGCGTCGCGGCTGGCGTACTCGGACCAGGTGGCGGTGCCCCAGCTGGTCTCCGACTTCACACCTCCCCATATCTCCCCATATCTCCCCATATCTCGAGGTGGCGGTGCCCCAGCTGGTCTCCGACTTCATACCTCCCCATATCTCCCCATATCTCCCCATATCTCGAGGTGGCGGTGCCCCAGCTGGTCTCCGACTTCATACCTCCCCATATCTCCCCATATCTCCCCATATCTCGAGGTGGCGGTGCCCCAGCTGGTCTCCGACTTCATACCTCCCCATATCTCCCCATATCTCCCCATATCTCGAGGTGGCGGTGCCCCAGCTGGTCTCCGACTTCACACCTCCCCATATCTCCCCATATCTCCCCATATCTCGAGGTGGCGGTGCCCCAGCTGGTCTCCGACTTCATACCTCCCCATATCTCCCCATATCTCCCCATATCTCGAGGTGGCGGTGCCCCAGCTGGTCTCCGACTTCGGGGCGAAGCTGCGGCTCATCGCGCAGCACGCCACCGACCGCGCCACCGCGCTCAAGCTCGGCTCGGCCAAGAAGGGGCTCGCCAACGAACACAAGCGGTCGGTGGGCAAGCGGGTGATGATGCAGAAGCTGCGTCTCGAGGCGGAGCGGAGGGCGGAGGAGGAGGCGCTCTGCGCCGCGCGGCCAGAGCATATCTCCCCCATATCTCCCCCATATCTCCCCCATATCTCCCCAAAGGCTCTCTGCGCCGCGCGGCCAGAGGCGGCGCCGCTGCTCGGCCGCCTCGCCGAGGTCTACGCGACGCTGCGAGAGGGCGCAACTCTCTCGGAGGCTCCCATCCCCGACCCCCACGGTACCCGAATCCACCTACCCCCACCCCCACCCCCACGGTACCCGAACCCTAGGCGCTGGACGGGATGCGCGGGGTCTACCACGGGTCCACGCTGCTGGCGGTGGGGCACGCGGTGCACGAGGACCTCTCCTAGACCTCTCCTGGAACCTTCCTGTAGGTCCACGCTGCTGGCGGTCGGGCACGCGGTGCACGAGGCGGCGGTGGAGGCGGCGAAGCCGGACGGCGAGCGCGAGACGGCGTACCGCGCGCGCAACCTGCCCTTCCTCGTCAAGCGTCTCGCCAAGCGGCTCTCGGACCTGCACCCCCCTCACGAGGCTGCGCTGCTGCGCCGCGCGTGCAGCACCGCCGCCAAGCTGCCTCTCGGCCTGCTGCCCGACCACCTCGCTGCACTCGAGGCGACGGCGGTGGCGCTCGAGGGCGGCGCGGCGGCGCTGCCCGCCCTCGCGACTCTCGCGGCCGACGACCTCGAGAAGCTTCTCTCCGGGGGCGGAGACCTCGTCCAGCCGCTGCTGGCTGGCGAGGGCGGCAAGGGCGGCGAGGGCGGCGAGGGCGGCAAGGGCGACGGCGGAGCGGCGGAGGCTGTGTGCCGTCGCGACGCGGCGGTTGCGGCGGCGGCGGCGCTCTACCCGGCGTACGTGGCCGACCGCGACGCGACAAAGGCGCTGCTCTCGGAGCGCGACCAGCTGACCGCAAAGCTGCTCGAGCTGCAGAAGAGCGTCGCCACCGACGAGGCCTTCTATCCGGACGCGAACGGCTGCCTCCGCCTCTCGGCCGGCCACGTGGAGGGGTACTCTGCCGCGGACGCGGTGCAGCACACGCCCGTGACCACGCTCGGCGGGCTGGTGGACAAGCACCTTGAGGCCAAGCTCAGCGGCGCGGGCGAGGCGGTCGCCGACCTGGTCAAGGGCGAGGGCGGAGACTTCGACTGCCCGCAGCGGCTGGTGGACCTCTGCGCCGCAGACACGGCCGTGGCGGCGACGCCGTGCTGCGTGTGCTACTCGACAGACACGGTCGGAGGCAACAGCGGCTCGCCCGTGCTCGACGCCAACGGCGACTTCGTCGCCATCAACTTTGACCGCCAGCGGCTCGGGCTGATGAACGAGTTTAAGTGGAGCGCGGAGTACTCCCGCTCGATCGGTGCGCCGAGCGGCGGCACTCTCCCCGCCGCCCGTCGGACCCGACGCACGACATGTCCGCGACATGCCCTCGCAGGCACCGACGTGCGGTACATCCTGCTGCTCGTCGGCCAGTACGACGGCGCGCAGTGGCTTGTCGACGAGATGGTCGGCTGAGAGGATCTGTTGCGGCGGTGGCACTCGCTTCTGGCAGGCTGGGCCTATGGCTTGTGATCGGTAAGCGCAGCCAACTCCGCCGCCCTGCCGGGACATGCCGAAAATGTTGCAGGCTTTTCTTTCATGCAAAATAATTAACTGGGAGGAGACATCCCGTAAGCACGATCGTGAACGGGCCTCGCCTGCTATTTATTCACAGCACCAGCTGGCTGGCGGCGCTTCCGCCTTTTCCCGCGAGAGACGATTGCAGGCGTTCAGTTCAAGCGCGCCGCCATGCCAGATCGTCTCGCCCCACGCTGCCCCGTCTATACACTAATCACTATAGAAGAGACTAAAAAACGGCGCACGCACACGCACGCACGCGCGCCGCGTACCCGTACGCGCGCTCGTATCACCTCAACACTCACACACACGAGGTCACAGCACGCTTGAACGAAGCGCCCCCGAGGGGCGAGCCGGACTCAAACGGTGGCGGTGATGGCGCGCGATCTGGACCTATCAACAGGCGCCTGCGGCGCCGTGGTCACGAGGTGAGGCGTCGAGGGCCCCACTCTTTCCTTCGCATAGCGGCCACTCTTCGGATCGCTGGTCGAGCGACCCGGGGGATGCCCCGCGCGCCTGACCCAGGCGCGAAAACGAATCTGCGAGGCGTGGCCGCTCATGCGGCCCGATGGGGAGGAGCGGGGCGGACTACGGGGATCGGCTTCTTACACAGCCCTTCCTTGCAGCGAGCCCCCCTCCAACCCACCGACCCGCGCTAGGTCTCGGGTTTGACGCACGCATGGGGTCACTCCCGCAAAACTCGGCAACTAGAGAGAGAGAGATTTTTAGCAAGTTGTTTGGAACTAGCCGGGGCAGTCGGAGAAGGGGCAACTCCGTGCACTGACGGTCGGCCGCCAGAAACCACGCCTGCGTGGATCGCGTCACACCAATCCTCGCTACCCAACGCGGCCAAAGGATATCCACCTCGAGAACCTCGAGAAAAGAAACCCGCCCGGCTCCAGGTCGCCTCTGCCCCCCTCCAGCCCCCGGCGGAGTCGCCGGCGACACTCTCCCACATCGCGAATGGGTGCCCAGGCGTCCTCGGCCTGCTCACCGAACGGCTCCGCGTGCTTCAGGACCAAGCCCATGACGGTCACGGTCGGAGACTCCTTCCCCACCGACGCGGTGGTGCACATTGGGTTTGCTGGCGGCCCAAACCCGGCCACACCCGTGAAGACCGGCTCGCTAATCACGGGCCGCAAGGTGCTCGTGGTGACGCTGCCTGGCGCCTTCACGCCCACCTGATCCACGTGCCAGGTCCCCGGACTCAAGAAGGCCGAAATCGACGGGCGCGCACCGCCCGCGCCGCTTTTGCCCGCCGCTGCGCCCCCGCCCGCCCGCCCCGCCCGCCGGCCCGACCGCCCGTGTGTGTGCCGCGCGCAGCCGGCTTGAGGAGGCGGGGATCGACAAGGTGTACGTCGTCTGCGTCAACGATGGCGCCGTGATGACCGCCTGGAAGAAAGACCAGGCGCGCATCGGGCACCTCAGAGACACCCTCACCGCCGCCCGCACCTCCGCCGCCCCCCGCTGCTAGGATGGACACCTCCGAGACACCCTCACCGCCGCCAGCACCTCCGCCGCCGCTCGCTGCCCCCCCGCTGCTAGGATGGACGCCTCTAGACACACCCTCACCGCCGCTCGCCGCATCCCGCCCAAGGGAACATGAAGACAGAAGCTCACGCGCGCGCCGCCCCCCCCCCCC